CATTTTAGTTGTCTGACTATTTTAAGGCTTTTACAACAACACCTTTCTGGGAAGGGAGAAGCTAGGAAAGTATTTCTGGCACTAGGCTAGCTGTTCCCATAGCCAACAAGGCTATGGATGGGTGAATCTGACGCAACTGCAAAAAGGCGGTGAATGGGACCATTCATTTCCAAGGAGGAAATTTGTGCATCAGGTTTATATGGAAATCGGCTTCGTGATTAAGTTAGTGGCCAAAGTGGCAAGTTGTAGCTCAGTTGTGAGACTCGCCACAGTGCTGCTAGGCAGGTGCCATCCATCTGCTCGGAAATGGTGCTGGAGCTGAGGGACAGTTGTGCTGCTGCTTGAAACGGTGATGTTCAGCTGCAGCCGCAACATAATCACAAGAGCCCAAATACTGGGTATAGTTTTGGGGAAGTTATTGTTTTACTTAAGCTGGGTCCCTTGCTAAGCTACGTATTCTGGTTTGCATGTAGTAAAATACTGCTTTTTGCTTGCTTTTGGTAAGAGTAGGGCAAGACTGGTGTTGTCAGGCGAGGCTTTTGTGGCTGCGTTCCAATGATGGTGTACGGCCACTTCGAATATACTCCCCCCCTCTTCCTCCAGACATAGTGGAACACAAATGCTGTACTGTGTAATGGAAATTCCTTTGCTGTGCACATTGAGTAGATCTGAATTTGAAATTAGCATGTCAGTTCGTTGCTTTGCTGTGGTACAAGCTTCTCTTGTTAGCCCCTCTCCTCATTTTGTGTATGTCAAACTAAAGCCACTCCTGAAGTGGCAGCTTCAGGATTAAGTAAGTGGGCATTTTGGGGCTCAATTATGGCAATTAGTGTTCAGTCATATTGCCTGTTTAAACTCAAGGGTTGACATGTTAACATTTTGCTCTAGCTTAAAGCAGGACTGTTTTTGTTCAGAGAAATGAGCGTTCGTATGTTGAGCGTTACAATAGAAAGCTTAGTAAGCAACTGAACGTAGCGTGTTGAGAGATGCTCTTCTTCAGGTTGACTTTTTTAACTGATAACAAAGTCCTGAACCAGGGAAGGGGGGAGAATAGGAAGGAATGCATATGCATGGACTTGATGCGAGGTTATTAGAGTCATGCTTCAAGCAAGCAGTGTTGTAGCTTGCTTCTTTCCAGCAGTGCCGTGGAGGCAGCATCGCTGTGCACCCCTGCTTCTGGTGGGAGCAAAGATTTGGGTGTGAGAAAACAGCAAAGATGTTGCTCTGTAAAAGCAATTTAAACCCCGACACTGTGCAAACTCAGCAGCAGCAGAAAACTCGAGCCTGTAAAATATTTCTCTCCTACCTTATTGATATTGATGCTACTGAGTGTAAATCTATCTAGATATACGAAGCACTAAAAACAATTCAGCATTTTAAGCGTGCAGCTTGGCAGTGCCCCGTAACAGAAGTGCATGCACCAACCCTTTTGTGATGTGGATAGTGGGAAGTGAGTGGCCAAAGATGAGAGGTAAACTTAGATCTTAACTTTAAACAAATGCCTGCTAGTTTGGCTCAGTAATATTCTGTACTTGACAGTGCTGCGTCAGAAGAGATGTGACTTTAGCCTTTTGTAAATGAACGTGTTTACAAAGGAGGAAGAAAGTATCTCTTTCCTGCCAGTTGTCCTAAATCAATCTCTTAAATTTAGTTAAAGTTACAGCGTCTGTCTTTCAGCTTTTCTTAAAATGTGATTTAACAATGAACTCTCCTTTGTGGATTATTTGACATACACTTGCGTCTGTCTTTCAGCTTTCTTAAAATGTGATTTAACAATAAACTCTCCTTTGTGGATTATTTGACATACACTTACATGTGCATTTTTAGCTTCTGCATGAGATATCCAATACTGGCTGCACTCCTCATCCTCCCTTACATACCATATACACCTGTTAACCAGTTCAGTTCGTGTCCTTAGTAATTAGATTGCTCACAGAGCATCCTTAATAAACACACATTAAAACATACATTAGGGTAGTAGAGATGTAATCCAGATACATGTGGGGGGGGATTTTTTTCCCCCCCTTCTATGACCTAGGACGATTATACACAAGAATGTGTGCAGAAAACCTTGAAGCTGAACACTGCATTGGAGTTAATGTATATCTTAGCTTCCTTCACAACCACCCCCAGTCCTCTTTCCTCTCTGTATTAACTTGATCTTCTGTAATTTTATCTCAAGATTATATTTAGGGTCTTCTAGTAAGTTGTAGTTTTCACTTGTTTAGTGAGCAGAAGCCCTGAGACTCCTGAGCAGCACAGGTAAAGGCTGGAGCCTCAGTGTTGATTATTAAATGAGTTAATTCTTTTTTTCATGGTTGACTTGAAAATTGGAATGATTGCATTTTGATGTTTCTCCAGCAGCTTAGTTTTTTTGACTTAATCTTCCTGTCTTCACTACTATTTTTGCACTTACCTAAATGCTGAGGGAAAAAAAAAAAGTAATTTCTAAAGGTCCCAGAGTTATTTTGATGTTTCTCCAGCAGCTTAGTTATTTTGATTTAATCTTCCTGTCTTCACTACTATTTTTGCGCTTACCTAAATGCTGGGGAAAAAAAAAGTAATTTCTAAAGGTCCCAGAGTCTGCTACTTTGAGCGCTCTTGTTTGTATTTGCAGTTGACTTTGAGGAAGATGTGGGACAGCTGTTCCACCACAGAATCACCCCAAATTTCAAGGCAGTATATCTGTGGCCTAAATCTACAGTTATCTTCAAGATAAAAAAAAGGATTGTGCATTTCGGTTCTAGGTTCAAGATTTTTAAGTCCTTTCTCTCAAAAGAGAGGAATATGAAGGTATAGTGTTTGAAACATGCATTTTAATTTTTTTTTTTGTCTAGCAGCCCTCATTAACATCAGCTACCTTACCCTAGCATCCTTTTTATTTTACAGTTCTCCCTCTAGAGATACATTAGTCATTGTTTCTGCACAGTAGCATTTTTTCCCTGCAGCAGTAATTTGATTGCAGGATTTCATTTAGTCTCCATCTAACTCTTCCCAACTTCTTCTGCCTCCAGCATGACACACAAGGTGTTCAAAACCTGTGATAAACTCTGGCCATGATTTTTTCCATTTTATTTTCTTCTGCCATCTTTGCTCCAAAGTACCAACAGAGAGCGCAGCATTCCCTCGCTTGCGACACACCTGTGTAAATGTTAAGTGTTTAAAGTTTACATCCTGTTGTTCAGGGTAAAAATCTACATGTCACTGACCACATCCATTGAAATACTACTCAAATTTTGATGTTGAGTTTTAGTCAATGACATGAGTTTGATAAAGGCAATACTAAAGGTCTATGCCAGTTGATTGCAGTAGCTGGTAAGGATTTTTGAGTGTCTTTTGGTGTTAAAACTCTTTAACCTTTTAATGCTTGATTTGTTGTCTGTCTGTCTTTTCTGATCGTGGGAGGACAAAGTGCTTTGAGATAAGAACGTGTTGGCTGATGGCAGAGGCTATGGATATTCTGGCACATGCTGTTGGAGATGACTTTCACTTGGAATAGCACTGTTCATGGGTGAAGTTTTGCTTCCGTCGCCACGTTCTACAAAAGCCTGCTCACACAAATAAAAAACTTGAGCCTTAACGAAGGGAAAGCGAAGTCCAAATAAAACGTCCTGGTGTAAACCGTGCCAGAAAAGAAACTTCCTCCCATCTATCGGAATCTGACACGGATCTTTTCATTCATCCTTTTAACTTGCCTTTAGGCATACCTCCCAGTGGTTGTTAGGCAACCATAATAATGTTGCTGAACACGCAGCCTGGCTAATTGGATTGTCCCCTTCTTGGGTTTTTTGTTCAAACAGTCTTGGTCATCTTTAATAAGGCAAGCACATGCAAGTTGCTTTGTTGGCTGGTGTGATAAACCAAGGGGCTTTCAAGAGTTCCGTGACACATCAAGGACAAAATTTTGAAATCTATGCGAGCTTTGACATTGTGCTTAGTCGAGAGCGTAAGAATTTGCCTCTGTCACTACAGAAGTCTTGCTAAATTCTGCTTTATTTCAGCACATTTCCCAGTTGTATTCAAACCAGCCTATTCTAATGAGAATTTTTGATTGAAAGGCAGTATCTACTCACATGAATGGAGCTGAGCTGCATCACAAAAATTCAAATAGACCGAGAATTTCCTGCACCTTGTAACCAGTGTCACTACGGTAGTCTTACTAGCAAGAAGTGTGTTCAGAAAAACAGTAATGCTTTAGTACAGGACGAGATGCCGCAGAAGAAAAGACATATAAGCATGGCAAGGGTTTTGTTCTTCGTTACACTCATAGGAAAAAAATGTATTTAGCGTGTTTTTCAGGAGGACCTGTTCCTCTATGCCAGCTTAACGTGAGCGATCTCTTGCAAGTGGTGTTGAACTTGAGTGTCCAGTAGTTTCCCTGGTCGTTCTGAGTACATAAACTAAAAATGCACGTCATTTGCATTTATGTAACCAAACTTACCTTGTATTAATTATTGCAAGGCAACTTGGTGTGGTTTGTGCTCCACTTATTTGTCTCATTAATTTTTTTCTTTTTTCTTACCCCATTGTAGATTCACCAAGTTGAAGAGCCTTAACCTTTCCAATAATAACTTAGGAGACTTCCCGCTGGCGGTCTGCAGTATCCCAACGCTGACTGAACTCAACGTGTCTTGCAACGCCCTCAGAAGCGTTCCAGCAGTCGTAGGAGAGATGCACAAGCAAGTACTTTCTTAAAACTTAATGTACACAGCCTGGTAATAAAGGCAACAAGCAGTTTCATGACTCTGCATGTAATCTGGGTGATTACATGTGAGAAACTTACTGAGTTTAAACTTGCTGGGTTTTGTCAGAGCAGACTGGCTTGCAGATCTGTATGGAAGCAGTTGTGAGCTGCGGATGGAGGGGAAGCACACTTTGTGTCTCAAAGCTCTTTCATTCCCCAGCGTTTGACATAAGGGTCACTTCACGGTGAAGAAAAATCTTTAAACCTCCTTGCTTATGTGCTTCAGCCATCACACAAGTCACAATTCTGGAGATGTTTGAAGATATGATACAACTGTCTAACACAGGCTACATTTCATCATGGCCAAGGCTTTTAATTATTTAGTCAATGTCTTCTGTAGCAGAAGTTAAAGCATTGTTCCTTAACGTTTTCCTTTCTTCTGCCCTTCTGCATATTTTATGTCACTGTAACTGCTGCAGATTTGTGTGTTTATAGGAAGGAAATGTGATTTAACAGGTCACCCGCTTTCTTCACTCTCCCTTCCCCTTCCCTGCTTTTAATAGCTTGCAGACATTTTTACTGGATGGCAACTTTCTCCAGTCCCTTCCTGCGGAGTTGGAGCATATGCATCAGCTCAGCTACGTGAGTCTGTCCTTCAATGAGTTCACCGACATTCCAGGGGTGCTGGAGAAGCTGACTGCCATGGATAAGCTCTGTATGTCAGGAAACTGCATGGATACCCTGAACCTACAGGTGTTAAAAAGGATGCCTCATATTAAACATGTGGATCTAAGGTAGGTATTTGGAAAAGGGGAAGAAGAAAGGGGTCTAAATTATTGATGTTGAAACGGTTTCTCCTTGGCTGTCAGAATATCCCCCAGGTATGAATCTGTTGCATTAGTCCATTGAACCATCTTTCTGGCGATATTATGTAACTCACAGCACTTTTTGTGACCTAGCACTCTTTGAGGAAGAGATATCCATAGATCCAAAAATGAGTTTGAGGGCAAAGGAATATTTACACTGAAAGATCAAACAAAGCAGAGCCTGGGACGCTGGTGATTCCTGCAGTTCTTGTCGCTGCAGTGTTAATATGATATAGATGATAGTCCCTGACCCAAAAAGCTTCTGTCTGAAATGTTACAGATTTGTGAAATGAAGAAAAACACAGTGAAGGCAAAAAGACGAAAATAGATATTTTAATATTTCTTGATATGTTGAAAAGCCTAGTGCACCATGAGTAACGTTTTATGGATGCCCTCAGCAGAGTCTAAACAGATCCTTCTTACAAATGGCTCTGGTATAAGGTGGTTCTTTGCTCTTACAGTCTTTGAGGAAGCCAGCTTCTGCGATCAGCTAGGCAAGGCTCAGTTCAGAGCCTGGACCATGAGGTCGAAATAACGATGGAGTTTGGAACCATTTAGTTAAGCTGTTCAAGCTAAAGCCTCGTGTACCATGTCGCTGTGTAGCTGTCAGACTTTGCAGTCAGGGAAGGGCCACCATAAGTTAAGAAAACAGCTAAAACAGATGAGTGAATTCTGAAACGTTAACGGTGGGGTTAAAATATGGTCACGTGTTTGTATGTATGTTAAAAGCAAATAAATAAATAAATTGGCCTCCCAGTGGGGATGCTGTGGCTGAGCTGACCATGAGTTTCAGCGGTGCAGTTCCAGCCCTGTCTTTGTCTGCTGCATCCTTTCTGCACCGAGCAGTGGTTCTTTGTAGCCGTAGGAATAGCAAACGTCGAACGTGTTTGTAAACTGTACTTGCTGCACAGTGAAGTGCTTTGCTTCAGTGAAACCAGAAGGAAGCACTGCTTTGTAAACTGAAGACAGAAAAAGTAGGCTGTGATGTTGGAGGGGACATATTACCCATTTTTCTTTTAACTGGGAAATGTAGCTACTCTGAAAACACAACTGTTACACAGAGGGCGACTCTTGGAAAGCAAGAGCGATGACAAAACTGTAGGTATTTGCCCTCATCCTTGCTACGGAGACGTAATGAGCCTGCAGAAGTTGCTGTACTATTTTAGTGTTCTGGTCAGCGTTGGGAATTGGTAACTGAACTCTTTGGAGTGCTTTTCAGTCTCAAACATGGCTGGGGTATAGATAATCTCATTTCATCGTAACTCCTGGGGAAGTTGCCGAGTGTTGGCGGCGCCAACGCGCCGCAGTGGAGAAGCGATAAAACCCGTTCTCTGTATCTGACAGACCCGCTTGTCTTGGGTTTTTGCTTTGTTTTCTTCCAACACTCATTTTGAGGTCTCTGAGCTTGCTTGTTGTGGAACGTGGCAACACGATAGGTGAATACATGGGAATTCATAAATCTCAGTTTGGCCTTTCAGTAAGGCAAGAGACTCCAATATCTGCAGGTTACTTGCATCTGCCAGGCTTTTCCAGCGGATGCTCAGGATAGGCCAGCAGGAACTGTAGAGGTTTTGTTCTTTTCCAAACTATCAGGCACAAATAACAGCCAGATCATCTTTCATTTTTATAGAGACAGTAACAGTAATACTTACCTTCTTGCAGAGCTTTTTATCAGTAATTTTCAAAGTAGTTTAGAAAGAAGCTAGGTGTCATCATTCCTTTGTCATGATGGATAAAACAACAGAGCGGATCCATCCTGCTTTTAAAATGCCGTAACAAAGGGGAAAATATTTAAAATCAAGCTTAATCAGAACCTGGAGGCACACTAGTGTGATCCAGTGCAACTGGTGGCAGAGTGAGCCATGCTTTGTTGGCAGGAGCCTACCATGTAACTACACTTAATCTCTCTTTTTGTCTGCAAGATTGAATTCCATTAGGAGATTGGAGGCAAACGAAATAGATTTTCTGCATCATGTGACCCAACTGGATCTCAGAGACAACAAACTTGGGGAGCTGGACGCAACGGTTTTTAACAATGTTGAAGTGTTACACTGTGAAAGGAATCAACTGGTGACCCTCAAAATCAGTGGATATTTTCTCAAAGCGCTGTACGCTTCCTCGAATGGTAAGTGCGTTTTTGGGGCGGCTGTGGTGGTGTCATCTGACTTCTGGTTTCATACCTGCTTCTCTGTGGGATGCTTGTGGACTGCAGTGCACTCCGGGAGGAATCAGGAGGCTCTTGACATGACCCTTGGATAAAAGGGTTTCACATGTGGTGTCATGCTACTGGCAGTTCTGAGCTTCGGAAGTGACTTTCAAATAACAGTCGGCTACTGATTTGGAGGTCTTGAAACTGAAAATCTTGGAATTTGAGCTGAAATTCCTCGCTGTGTCAGCAAGAAGGGATCTTGAAGTTGTCAGTTCTTTGGGTTGTATTAATATGTTGCTTTACTAAAGCAAATAAGGACTTTATTGCTTCTCCCCGGAGCTGAGAAAGTTTGAGCAAGTGGCCATTTGTGAGACAAACTAAAACAATATATATTTTTGCTGCTACCTCTAGCTGCTTGCTCTGGCCAGAAAGCTCTGAAATCTATGCTGAGTAACTTCATTTGTATTCGATAATAAAAATAATGTGGCCTTTTCCAGTTGAATAACTCCTGTGTTCCATGAATAGGATTTGTTTGATCTGTCTCTGGAAGCTGCTGTTACTTAAAATATTCAGTTTTCACCACTATTTTTATTGTTTGGAGTAGATTGGTATGAAGTAAACAAAATGCCAGCTCAGAGAACTGGGGATTTGATGAGCCTGAAGTGCCTTTAAAAGGCTGTCATCTTAACGATACCCAAGCCCATGCCTTCATTAAGTATTCATGCCGGGATCTTTGTAGCTGAGAAAAGTTAACATCATCTGAGCGTGTGCTGTGCAACGCGAGCTGCGAACCCAAGTCAACCCATATCTCCAAATCAGCTGCCTACTTGGTCTTGCTGTTCTTCCTGGCTATCCTCTTTGCACCCTCATCCCTTTTGTTTCGGTCTCCTCTTCCAAAGGAACCGTGATGCTTGTTGCACTTTCACTTGAGTGACTTTTCCGTAGGCTTAAATAAATGTCTGCTGGTTTTGCTTCAACCTTAATGCTAAGCATTAGCTACCTAAAAACCTTAGGGTATGAAATGTTAATTGAAGCACTCAAAATATAACTTTCATAGCATCTCAACTACTGCTAGTAAAGGTCAGAAGGCTGCCTGCAACCAGGAACTCCACAGGGATGCAAAGGCTTAGGTAATGTGTTGAAAAATACTCTTGAGTCTTGCCATGACCTGGAAGACTCTGGGGTGTTCTGTAGCTTGCTATTCCAGAGTGGGGTGTCTCCCTTCCCATATCCATAACATTAGTGACCAGTGGAAAAAAAAAAAGTAGAGCAGTTTTGTGACTGACTATTCTGGGCAAAGGATGGCGGAGGTGAACTTACAGCTCTGGGACAAAAATGGAAAAATGGTGATTTATCATGAAACTTTTAAAATCCTCCACTTTCTCCTCCCTGATCAGTTACGCAGTATCTGTCGTAGCAAGCACAGCCTAATGCAGCAAATGTACTCAGGCATAATAAAGAAACAAAATTTTCTTCACAAAGGTCCAGATTTTCAGAAGATTTTTAGAGCACTAACTTGTTCTGAAGTCTTGGGGTGTTAGCTGCTCTTATGGAACAGCCATTTAGATGCAAGTCTTTATTGCCACTTTTGTTTTTGTGTTTTTCCCCTCTAGAACTCGTTCACCTTGATGTGTATCCAGTTCCTAATTGCCTGACTTACATGGATATTTCTAGGTAAGAGTGTGTTTTTTCTTGGGCCTGTAAAATATACATCAATGTGTTTTATGGAAAAATGACGTTCACTGGTGGTTTAGTGGGAGGGGGTGGGGGCAGGAATTGGAGCTTGAGATATGAGAAGACTGATTTTCGGAGTTAGAGGATGGGCTTTTTTCTATTGACCAATTTTCCCTGTTTCCTTTTTACAGATTTACTTTTTTTATTTTTTTTTAGTGCTAAAAGCAAAACGTGCCTGTAGAGTTACAGGGAAAAATGATTTAAAGATTTCCTGTCTTATATCGATATAACAGGATGATTCAAACGTGCACCGATATGAGGCACGTGCAGAATTTCCTTTCTGGATATGTCTGTGGCACAAGCCCAACACAGGTGGCAGTTTGACAGTTTGCTCCTCAGTTTGGCAGCTCCTGCAGCTCATTGTTCTCCGCAGCCCTGGCTGCTGCAGGGGTGTCTGCACTTGCCACTTGAATGCATCCCTAAATCTCACCTTAGCAGAGGGAGGTGGGGAACAGAAAGAAATGGAAAAGGGGATGTTTTAGTCTGTTTTACAATTTAAGGACAGAAGCAGGAAAACACTTTATACGTGTGCTTAATGTCTGTCTTGTTTAAGGAATTGCTCATCTGCATGTTGAAGTGATGATCTTATTCATTAAAAAGCCTACTTAAACCACTCTTAAGCTGTTGAGGGTGATGTAACAATTAGAGAGTTAACCTGGGTGAGTGGCCATCAACTTCAGAGCTGGATCAGCCATGAGTTACTGTCTTTGCACACCTAAGTGTAACAGCAGGTGTGACTAAATAAGTGAAAAGCATTCTTTGTAAAGCTGTGTTCTCCGTTTAGCTGTAAATGAATTGGTGCAGAATGCATGATTTTGATCAGAAAACTCTTTTTGTGCCTCAGTTCAGTGATGGCACTGTAATTAAATAGGCAGGGTGTCTTTAGCTTCTTGGCTGGCTTGGAATTTGGGAAATCCATTTGTGATTCTAAGGAGATATCTAAGATATCTGAGATATTTAAGGATCAGAGAGGTTGGGTCACGGGCGAGTATTTTGGTTAAAGGCTATTGCATGAATAAACTAGAGGATACAAGTACATGAATGAGCACGAGGATTGATAAGGTGCTATTCCTGAACTTCACGTCTGCGAGTGCCTGGATATTATTGGATGCCCATTTTTGTGTCTGTGTATGCTAACTGAAGTAGTGATTATGTGAATGCACACGCACACAATCTCCCTTGGGTACTTTGTGCTGCTAATTTTTGTCTTTAAGGCAGGATACGTGGGTGCCCCACTGTGCCCAGCTGCATGTTTGCAGTGCAACATTTGGAAAAACTTACCTCTAAGAACTTAATTTTTAGAAGGGTTAGTTTCTGTGAAGATAAATGCAAGAAAAACAAAACGCTTGACGTCAAAGATATGCACGAAAAAGGTTTTGCTCTATTCAGTGAGATCGCTCAAGAGTGGTAGAGTGGGCTTCAGGATTGAATTTAGGGGGGTCAAAGAGGTGTGTTTCAACTGTGTATGATGTGAGTATCTTCTGAGGAGCATCTCACAAATTTTCTTCTCCATGGAGAGACTTCTTCGCCCTCAATATTCTGATACTCTTAATACTTCTTCCTCAATAATTTGGAAGCAGATTTTTCCATTTTCTTAGTGGCTGCACATGTAGGGAGACACTAATGCTGTTAGCTTTCGTGCCCCCTCACTCAGGACCTCGCTGTACTGGTAGTGCCCTTAGAGAAGGAGAGGTGATACGATCTCATAGGAAACACACTATGTAGCAGATTTATTTCCTGCAGGTATCTGTATCTCTCTTGAGGCTGTATTCTTAATAGCTTTTACATCTCGATTATCATTTAGTTATACCTCTTTGTGTTCTGCATTCATAGAAATCACCTGGAAAACCTGCCTGAGTGGGTATGTGACAGCAGGAAGCTGGAGGTGTTGGATGTTGGCCACAATCAGATACGTGAGCTGCCTGCCCGGTGAGTCTTGCAGACCAGTTGCACAATGTGGAACAGGATAAGCAATTCAGAAATAATTGCTGATTCAGTGTTTAGCTTGTTCCAGTGACTGGCAGGCCCGTTTTATCTTTTGTTTGATTTTATTTTTACCTTGTTGGGGTGTCATCATGCCTCAAGCTTCCACCCAGCCTTTCTTCTTTTACTTTCATGCAGAGAAAGCAGTGCCTTTGAACTCCAGGTGGAAGTTTTGAAGCTGTTCGTGTGGCTGTTCAGGCAGGAAAGCCCTTCATTTTTAATACTGAATATGAAATATTTACAGCCATAACTTTGCATACCAATTTAGAGATCCAGAACTTGTAACTTAGTTTCAGTGGTGCCTAGAGACTCCAGTTCACAGCCTTGTTTGAGTGAAAAAAGGTTGAGAGGAAAAGGTAAAGCCTCATCAAGCAAGCAAACTCCTGCAAGAGGAGCAATCACCTTCACTGCAAAGATGTTCTCTTTTCCAGGAGTCTAAACTTAAAGTTGATAAATACAAATAATAGGAAAGCAAGTGAACAGGAAGAAAAATAGGAGTTGAGTTCAAATAATGAATGGCTCTTACTAGTTTTTTTTTCTGGAGAGATGTTCCAGGTAAGTGTGCTGGTCAGGTGCTGGTATTGAGAACTTTTAAGAGACAAGAAGAGAGCTGTTATTTTTGGCTACTCTGAGGAAGTACATAAAAAGTAGGGAGAACATATTAGGCACAAAGGGTGAAATTGTGTGGGGACGTGCAGATCCATTGAAGATTGTAGACAGCTAGTGTATGATGAGCTATGAAACATTTTCCTTATGGAGCTGTACAGCACAGAAAAGCATCAGAAACCGAAACGAATAGTTTTGTCTGGGTCAGATGAGTGTGCCATATGGTGCAAACTGGCAGTTTTAGTGTCAGAAAAGGGAAGAGAATAGATTTCAGAAGTGTGGGCAGAAAAGGGCATGAGGAGATTTACCAAGCAAGCTAATGGGCTAACACGCAGACCATTAATCCCTCTGTTTTTTCACACAAAGTGAAACTGCACCTACTCAGAAGGTGGGGGAGCAAAAAGTTCATTTGCCTTTCATTTGCACTTCATAACAGCAAGGACTATCAAGGCATACCGGATATCTTTGGGAGATTAATGATTAGCTGAAATTAGGTACAGTCAACATCTCACTTGTCTCTCCTGCCATCTTATCATTAACTCCAGGAAATAGCTGATCTTTGAAAGCTCTTCTTTGTAGTCTGTGTCTAGATAGCTTAGCTCCTAATAAGTCAGCTCAGTTTTAAGGCTTGGTTCAAAACACAGGCTTTGAACATCTGTTAAACTTTAGGGAAATTTGGGTCTGCATTCAAATCCAAACGACTCGAGCGTGTAGACCTACTGTGCAAGTATCAGGTAAATACTAAAATACTAGTGCCCAGCAAGGGTGTTCATGTGCACTGCTGTGTGCTTTCCCTTCTGCGTACAATAGTGCTCCAAAAACCTGTGAAGCCAGTGAGCAGGACTCTCCTAGGAGGATGCTTGCAACTGTAATCACAAATGTTCAAACCTTGACGGACCAGCAGTTTCTTGGAAGGCTGAAGGTTGCACCTAATCTTAGATAAACGACGGTGTTATGTGCATTTTCGTCTTGAAACAGAAAAACGATCCTTGAAGACAAAGAGTTGAAGCAGCTGAGATAGAAGACTGTGTACTAATATTTGTCTCGATTAAAGAAAATAGGTACAGTGTACACTGGGCTGTAATGCAACCATTTCTGCTTTAAAAGTACTGAAAAATAACAAAAAGGGTGCTTAGTCTTAGCTATGCAGGACAAATTCATTGTCATAAAACTGACGTTGCCAAAGATTCCCTGAAGAAAATGGAAATACTTCAATTAAGAGTTGCCAGAATGACCTTGCTGCCACCAGCAAACAGATGTCTGTATGTATTTTTGTTCCTTTTTGTCCATTTTTGTAAAAGATCTATTGGTATTTAACATTGTGTTCTCTCAAACTGTTGCTTACTAAAGGAATGGGCTGAATGCTTTCACCAAGCATTCTTTCTTCTTCTTTCACCAAGAAGGTGCTGATGCTGAGCAATGTGCTTGTCCTTAGAACTTTTTGATCCCATCAAAATTTCCAGTGGGAGTTGGACAAGCAGGAAAGCAGCCTATAGGGAATAGTAGTCTCAACATCCTGGTTTCCCACCCAGCTTGAGAACTAGGTGTCTCAGGCTCATCAGGAGCTTGCTTAGTTAAATGCTGGTGGTTCAATATCTCTTCAGGCAGCCCAGTTCCTTTGATGCTTGTGTAACTTGGAAAATAAGAGAAAACAAATGAACAACAAAAAACCAAAACCCCAAGACTCACTCAGTTCTTCTGAATTATTTATAAAATATATTTTCATGGAAAAGCTAATTGCCAAGGTTTTTGCCATGATTTGAACTTTTTTATTTTAAGGTGGCACTGCCCTCACCCATTAAAAACAAACAAACAAAAAACCAAACCTGAAGTGATACATTTATTTTGGAGACATTGTCAACCAATTCTGTTTTTTTCCTGTAACGTTTGGTGTTGATGATACCGGCCAGTCTTGATTAGGAAAGGAAATAGAATAGAAAGGCAAATCCGTAACTGCGAGAGATTTTCCCATAAAAGTGGAGTGAAACTGAAATGGTTAAATGACGAAAACATAATAGATATGCTTATCACTGTGTGGCGAGTCTTTTCACTCTCTGAGCCTTCTGGAATGGCACGGTTGGCTGTTGGCTTGTATCCATGGTCAGAATGCCGGCGATCCAGCCCACTGAGATAACCGTTAACGCTGGCGCGCAGATACGGAGCGTGGCTATATCTGTCCAGGGGAAAATGCTCAGCATACTTCCTGGATTATTTTGGCACAATAACCTGATGACCTGACGTGTTGTGAGGAAGGGGCAGGGAGGCTTTTCGTGTGTATTTGGGTCATTGTAACAGAGGGAAGAAGATTTTTGCTTTAATGCTGAGTAATTTGAGAGTCTTTGATTGGAACAGGTCAGCACGAGGCACAGGCTCGCCAGATTAAACAGTGCGGTAGCGGGAATGTAAGACGGGTGGCAGATGAAGAATAATCTTTTTTTTTTTTCTTAATTTGCTGAAAATGATTCCTGTTCGAAATCGAGAGTTGCTCCATTTTTGAGGGCTTTAGGTGCAAATTTTAAACTCCTCACTACATTGTTTATACTGCAAATTTTAGCTTTACCACTTGATCAAAACAGCTCTTCTTGTCTCATTACATTGCCCTCTTCTCCCTCTTCCCTTCTCCCCCAGCCCCCCAAAAAAATGCAGCAGGAGGATGGGACCCCAGGTCATCTATCGCTTGTAAAAGCTCAAGAAAGTAAAGCCGATTAGATAAATTTCATTCGCTGTAGTACTGGAAAGGAGGCTTTATGGGAGTCTGGTATTAACAGAAAAGGAAAAGCAGGAGGGGGGCTGGAATTGCATTGGATTATGAGTCAGCACATGATGAATAGAGCACTATGAAGCTTATGGGGTGACTGGTGATTTCACCCACACTTCTGAAGTTCTTCCGCTAGCTAAGGGGATCCCACATGTGCAGCCGTGTGCAGCCTTGGTTAGCAATTACCTCCTTCTCTGTCGTGCTTCTATGTTCATGTTTTATACAGTGCAATAAGATAACCCTTTCTCACTGCTTTCACTCCTGAATCATCCTTAAACCTCCTTCCCTGTCTCTGAACAACCTTTTCAAGAAGTTGGTGGAGAGTGGGAAGACATTCTTGGATCTGTGCGTAATTAATACCGTGTCTGCTAATCAGTTGGCTGAATCACTTTCTTGTAATGAACTGTGATGTCGCACCTCAATTCTCAAAGCAACTCTTTAGATTTTTCTCATTTTTGATGTTTTTTTTTGTTTCTCCAAGGTTGTTTTACAATAGTAGCTTGCGTAAGCTGCTGGCAGGACATAACATGTTAGGAAGGCTACCAGATCGGCTCGAGCGGATGCAAGTGGAGGTCCTGGACGTGCAACACAACCAGCTTCTTGAACTGCCATCTAACCTGCTTTTGAAAGCAGACAGGTAAATATAAAGAAATTTGATCTTGGCTGGCGTGTGAGGAACCTTGCTTTGTGTGTTACTTCCTAGCTGAAAGGGTAATCTGAGGTTTCCCTGATTTGAAAATTGCCAAGCCTTGTGTGGTAAGAACAGATGTCTGCCCAACTCACCAAAACACATTCTTTTTATTCTGGTTTTGTTACCTTATATGGTTGCTTCTTTTTCCCCACCAAGCTCCTGCTAAACACCTACTTCTTGAAAAATCTAGCTGTAAAGTGAAGCGTGTGCTATTTTCTACTACATACACTGAGAGGGGTTAGTGGCAGTTTCTTTAAATACACATTTCTTAGGCTTGTTTGATGGAGTGTGAAATCTTTTTTTTTTTCCCTTCAGTCAGAGGCTAGAACTTATTTAGACCTGTCAAACAAAACAAAATCTGTGCATAAGGCTGTCAGAATAACTTAGTTATTCCCCTGTCCTTGCTTTGTGAATTTTTTTTTTATGCTTTTCAAATGTTTGTCACTAATTTAGCTGGTGTCACCACTTGATCTGCTTTCTGGATTCTTGTTTTTATGCTGCTATTTCTTTAGTCTCAGAGTTTTCATAATCTTTTTCCCTGTAAAGTGGCTGTGACTGAAATATGGGAGGTAGGTGTCATAGCCTGGGGATGGTGGGTGGGCTTGCCCCACTTGGTGTCAGCATTCCTTGCCCCTCTGTGCTTCCACATGTAGTCATGGGGTTCCTGAGTGCTCAACCCGTGCATCATTTAACGGATAGCGAGACTGTTTGCCATGGGGTTTCATTTCTGATTCTAACTGCGACAAAAGGAACGTGTAGCTCCTGGGTTTCTTGAGAGGTGGAGAAGCAAAAGTCGTGGTGATCTCCCTGTCGCAGCTCCTCACCTAATTAAGAGCATCACAAAACCCCTACTTTTATACTGCTGTTCATTCTGTCATGAACCTCTGGTTGCGTTTCCTGGGATTCACAGCGTTGGGAGTTGGAGAATTAGGTTGTTGGTTGAGATGGTTTCTAAATAAACTCTCGACTTACTATCATTTAGGTTAAAAATTGTCTTTCAAAAGGTGAACTTTACTAGGACAGGGGTTTGGTTCTGGAAACCAGTATAACATTTCAGCCTTGGTTTGCTTTAAAGAACCTTTAAAATAATTTTTGTACTTTGATTTTTTTTTTTTAACAATACTATTGCATGTTTGTCCACGTTCAAGCCTGTGTAGGAGACTACCTTTGGAATAAATTGTTTATTAGCAAAGCTGTTCCTGATAGTAATTTACTGTTTCAGCTGAGACTTTACATAAAAGTGCAGTCAAAGCATTGAAACTTAGAAATGTTACTACTGTAATAATTGCGATTATCTGGCACGTTTCTGTTTAAAAATGGTGAAATTCATAGCCTGTCCACGTGGCAAGGATGTTTCTCATAAGCAACTGTTATTGTCTTGTGGAGGACTTATCAAACTGTTGTACATTAGAGATTCTATGAACTTCAGAAATAAAACCTTGTAAAAAGCCTTTTTTACAGGAGGTTGCATAATTAAGTCAAAAAAAAAAAGCGATTTACAGTTCCCCAGTTGAAATTCCTATCTATTCACTTGGAAAGGAAAGAAAGCTTTAAGGAAGTTTCAGAAAGCTACTGGCATCTTTGAAAGCAGAGAGAAATAATTTTGTAAAATTTCTATAAAAACCAGGTTGTAGGTCTAGGCTGTAGATTAGTGCAGTTTTGGCAGTAAGACAGAACCTGAGGGTTTTTTTACTGCAACTCATCTTTTTATATTGAGCTACAAAACTGTAGACAGCTTTTCTCTTTTTTGTGTGGTTTTTTTTTCTTTTTCATGTTTTTTTCTTTTGTTTTGTTTTTTTTGGGGGATGCTAAAATGAACAAGTACTGGCTAAACCAGGATTGGGGGCAGATTTCCAGAAGTCTGCTAAAAGTGTGCTGAGAAGAGGCAGAATTAAAAATATATAAGGGTTTTCCCCCATGTTCCCTACCCCTGTAGTGGTTTAGATGACTTGGCTTTCAAATGGTGTGTCCATGCTGGTGCTCCTATGACTGCTGCAAAAGTGATAACTGTGAAGGAAAAGAGCAGATTGTGCAATATCTGAGTTTTAAGTTTGGAATTTCCTACAGGAAATTTTATTTTTGTTTTCAGATGTTTGCATCTGTCAGCAGCTGTCAACAGAAATGGGTCTGGGCCAGGGAAAGGTGTTCGGGGGTTTTGTTTGTTTTGTTTCAGAAAGGTAAATGCTTCTCTTTTCCAAGCATTCCCTGGGAAGCACAATCTGTGCTGCCAGACGTGCCAAGAGAACTGGGTTCCCTGAGTGCTCTGCCATGATCTGTACCCAGCGTGTAGTGTTGGACAAATCACTTTACCTTACAGAACCTTCATCTCTCCATAAAATGGCTCACCTTTTGCAGCCTTGAAAAGATGAGCTGATTTTTTTGGAAAGGTACACAGGTCTGTGCAGGTGACATGGTATCTTGTCTGGATATGAAGTCTCGTGCTGTGAATTATAAACGCTTTCTCCTTCTCAATCCTGAATATTTGACAAAGTGGGTGTGAAGTGCCTTGGGCGAACTTCAGCACAAGTACTGGTGGGCTTTGATATCTAGAACATCTGAGGAAGGGGGGGAAATCAGTGCACTGGTGCACAGAGAGAGGATATCACTTTCACAAAAAAAAAGCTGAAAAAACCTCTGTTCTCTTCACAGAAACATCATCAAGCTTTACTTTTCTGCCTTAATCCTTCAACAACCAATGAAAAGGTGCCATTCTCTGCTGAAGAGTGTAATTTAGGGGTATTTTGTTGGTCTGCTTTTTAAGTAATTTTCTATTTTAAACTGTTACTTGAGGAGAAATTGAGGACTAGCCTAGGAAACATGTCTCTGACCAAGACAGAACTCGGTTCTGTTTATTGCACTCAAAGTATGCACATCTTGATCGTGTTAGCAAGGATTTCTCTTGCAGGGTGGGGATTTTCTTGGCAAGATGAGCACCACAGAGGCAGCCAGATAATCTCTTCATTTCTCATTACCAGATGCTGCAAAAACAGAGAATTCATGCAAGAGCTGTGGCTGATGGGGAGAACTCCCAAACTGAGTCCTGAACCTTTTTTCGTGCACCTGCTTTCCTCCAGCCTTTCATTTCTATCCACTGCTTCGTCTGCTGTGGTGCCTTTCCCACGCTGTCTGGTTCTCTTACAGACTTTGCCACCTGCCTTGACCAGTTTGCAGCAAACTACTGTTTAATGGCATGAAAACTGTTGTACAAAATGCTCTTTGGATAAGACGAGTGAGCATTCACCATCTTTAGCTGAGTGTGGTAGGAGAGCAGTGGCAGTGGTCGGAGGGGTTTAAAAATGGAGAGACAGGGGTGGAGGGCAAGGGTTTGCCTCTTGCCTAAGCTTCCTTTCTGGTTTTTATGAATTTTTTCAGTCTTAACCCTTAAAACAGCCATTGGACTACTGAAAGCAGCTGTGTGGTGAAGATGTGCAGCTGTGATGTGCACAGCTTAAACCTTGGGCTTTGTGTTGTAGTGTCTGGCAGTGGCCAGCTGTGGTGGCTAAGCCAGTGTCAGCTATTCTGAGCCCATCTAGGCTGTCGTCACCACCGATTCCCTGGCAGTGTTCAAGGCCAGGTTGGATGAGGCTTTGGGCAACCTGGTGTAGTGGAGGGTGTCCCTGCCCATGGCAGGGGGGTTGGAACTAGATGATCTTTGAGGTCCCTTCCAACTCTGACCATTCTATGATTCTTGTTTTCAGCTTTGTTCAGCTGTTCTTCTCTGTTTTGATTTTCTGTTTGATTGGATTTGATTTGATTTAATTCATTTTGGATGTTTTTGCTTGTTTGTTTGTTTGTTTTTTTCTGGAGATCAGGAAGGTGACCCAGTTAAACTTGCTCTTGTTTGGTATTTGCCATTTCCACCCACATTCCCCATTTCCGCTTCTTTTTGATGCAAGGATTCAGTCCTGTCGTGGATGCAGGAGAAGCGAGGGAGGAAACAAAGTCAAATGAATGCAAAGAGCTATTTGAGTGTTTGATGCACATGCTTTCGTTGTAAAAATGCTTAGCTGCATTTGTTTCCTTGCTGGTAGGTTAGGGTTTGCAAGCAGGTATATTAGAAACTGGGGAAATCCCAGTTAAAGAAACAGCTAAAGATAGGTTAGAAAGTAAGAGAAGGGGATTCACTTGAATGTTTCTGTCCTTTATTTTTGTTTGTTTGTTTTAAGGAGAAATACCCTCTTTTGCCCAGGCTGGCAAAACTGCCTTGATTTTTTATTTTATGTTTCCTCCTTCTTTTTCCCCCTAGACATGCTTAGCTTACAGGGTTCTTCCTCACACACCTGCTGCTACAATCATAAATTATTTTAGGATTAGGCGATGAGAAATTGAGGGCATGTCTCTGCAGAAGGGACTGGAGAAGAAATTTTGTATTTTGATTGCTCTGTGCTGATGGAGATCTTGGGGCACAGGCCAAACTGGAGATCTTGATTCTCTGCATATTCTCTTTTTGCAGCTGCAGTATTCTGCCCAACTCTTATCGGTACTTTCAAGCTAAGCACAGTGGTTTTGATTTGCTGCAGCTTCACCATTAGATGCAGTTGTTGGAACCATTGGAACACAGCATGTCTGTGTTGCTCCATTTAATGTTGAGTGTTTCTAAGTTTCTTGGAGGACTTACCTTTTTCAGTGGTGGCTGTCTTACCAGCAAGCCAGGTTTGCCAAGCCACCTCAGAAAATGATGAGGAATGGGGAGATGCTGTATTCTCACAATTGGCTATATTCAACTTTCATGTATGCTAGAGGCAGGCATTGGTGTTAAAAAATTTCAAACCTCATGCAGTTTTTTTGGTAGAAGGTTTTCTTCATCTGCAGGACGTCTGAATTGAGGTCAAAACCCTCGGTTTAAATAGGGAATGCACATAACTGCATGTTAGGTCTGTTTTGTTGAATTAGATCCATGTCCTTGATTCTAGCCTATTCTTTGGGACATTCTTTTTTTTCTCTTTTGTCTCTTGGAGAAGTTAAATCCAGCAAGGGATTGTACTTTAATACCCCATAAAACCAAAAGTGACTTATTCCGGCCAGAGATCAATGTTTATATTATTAGCCCAGAGGAGAATTTGCACCTTGTCAAAGCTGAAGAATTCTGGCATCTCCTTGCCAGCACCTTTTGTTTCTTTCTTAATCTGGGACACTCTTCTAGTACTTGTTAATCCGTGTGCTCCTCACTGTGTTACGCTCTGGTATGTGCGCAGGCTGCTGAATTCAGGTTTTTGTAGTGATGCTGTACTTTTTTCACGAGTTTGTGGTATAGTGTGTGGGTGGAATTGGAAAGGGAAACAATTAATTTTGGACTGAGCGTTAATACTTGACATTCTGCTTCCATCTGATAAGCAGTATGAGTGGGATATCTTCAAGGAACATGAATCAGTTTAAGTCCATACACAAGAGAGATGGGAACAGTTGTGCCCAAGTAAATTTCCACTCCTCTGGAGGGCATTTGTAAGATGTGCCTTCTAAGGTAGCAGCTGGCACGTTGCACGAGAATGAAGAAATAGGAGTAGAAATAACCTGGAGGAGGAGTTCTGTGTTAAATCAGCATGAAGGAAAACCTGATGGGCAAGTACAGATATTTTAATTTTTTTTTTGGACATAAGATTATAGCGCAGAATTGACAAAACTTTGGCAGTAGCAATCTGCTGTTTCGTTCTGTTCTCTGCCCAGAGAATGGTGTGTCTTTTTTTTAAAAAAAAAAATAAAAAATTAAATCCAGAGACTATCTTGAAAGAGTAATTGTTTGAGAATGTTTTTACCGTTTTTAATGTAACTGCTGGTCAAAAGGAACATGTAAATAAGCAGCGTACTCTTTTCTAAAAAGTTAATTTAATTCTAATGATGTCAGCTACAGACAGAGATCAGCGTGTGACTATCCTGAACCCAACTGCTGAGTGCTGCTCCGTTACTCAGTGAGTTGTTACGTGTGGGGTAGGTGAGATACCCTGCTTGCTACCACAGGGGTCCTGTTTTAGACTGTTGGCAAGATTTTGCTAGCCACCTAAACCTCGTTCACATCAAGGCACTAAACTGTAGGTCAGGGTGCTGGGGATTTAGTTCCAATGTTGTTGAATTGCTCTCTGGAAGATTGGGCAAAAGGGTGAGGGCGGGTGTGCTACAGAGCGACAGGGTTGTTCTCTACTTTCCCCACTGGAAAATATATGCATCAAAACTTGTTTTTGGCAGGAATGTGCAGATTCCAGCCACTTTTAAGACCAGTGAGGTCCAGCCGCTTTTAAGACCAGTGAGGGAACAGCTTGAAATTTCTTGTTGTATGCCACCAACTTTGAAAGCTTATTAAAAACAGAAGAGCTTTTTGTTTGGTTCGTTTTTCTTTTGAATTTAAAATTGCTTCAGTAGAGTAGACTGTATTAATTTCAGCTTTATCAGAGCAAGGTACCTTTTCTTACTTGGAGCTTTCAGCTGTGTTTTGGGCTAGCTGTACTTGAGCAAACTTATGTTCTTCTGAACTTGACAGCCATAGGATGCTCCCTAGGTTATCTGTTTGCCTCTGTTTGGTTATTTAGAGAAGGTACCTCTGAAACACTCCAGTTTATTCTGCTGCAGCTTGCAAGAACATAAGGAAAATAGATTCCTCTTCAGGGCAGCAGAACATGCCCTTTCTTGGGGAATGTTTTGCTGCCACCTCCTCATCTCCATCGTATTGCTTTGAAAATTCACTTTCCCCAGTAGCCTTGAACCTTTTTATTGCTTAAGCCTTTCCAGGCAGAGCTGAAGATGACCGGTCTGTACTATGAGTGGTGCAAAAGATATTGTGGCTTTAATGTTAATCAAAATGCCTTTTTTTGTGGAGAGAGAGAAGGCTCTCACACATATTAGGTTGAAGTTGCCAAAGTAAGAGTTGTCTGTACTGTTGGCAATAGCTGTGCTTGCTGGTGTTTAATCAAGTACAGGAGCTGTTGATGTGGTATGCTTCGGTTTAATAATCCAACTTTGAATGAGCTTATTATATTTTTAGTTTATAGCTAAAGGGTGAAATTGAGCAGCATCTTTTCAGAATAAATAAAGAATTTTAAAATCCCTTTCAGCTGCTTATTCCCTTCTCTGTATTAATCCTCTCTCTCCTCCTTCCTCCTCTGGAGTTTTACCACCCTTGTGAATAATGAATGAGCCTGAGGATTAAACTGTGTTTCTCCAAAGTGGACTCCTCTGTCTGTGTAAAACAGCTAACCTAGTTTCAGTTCTGTGCAGTGCTGAGAGATTTTTGCTTCTAGTGGAAATAGTGGGGTTTTTTTAATCCTTTGGCATTCCACGTGACTCCTGTAGCATGTCTGACCCTTATTTGCTGCTGAGCAAGTTTCAACCAGCTGCAACTCTTGCAAATCCATTTCATTCATTAATAGCCCTTAAAGGTCGGTGTGGATTCCTGCGTGCTTGGGAGAAACGATCAATATTTTATCACTTTTTCTCGAGATCAATGACAGGAGCGCGCCGCCTACCTTTTGTGTCCTGCTCAGTGGCTTTATAGGCTTCAGCCAACTGGTTTCTGAGCCTTGTTTCTTGACCACGACTTTGCCCGTTGCAGCTGCCCGTTCCCGTTGGTAGGAGCAGCCCAGCCTGGTTTGACTGGCAGGCACACGCTCACTTCTGAATTGCAGGTCCTTTTCTGAAAAGGGGAGGAAGGAAAAGAGAGGTCTGGTTTCTATTGAAAAGGCACAGTCATGCCAGAGTTGGTTACTAAAGGACAAATAGCTGTATTTTTCCGTATTTTCTTGGGAATTGCTCGTGTGAATTCTAGCCCTCAAGATGTCTGCAGTGTGTGTTCTTCCAGTACTGCTGCAATCACCAAACTCTCCTAAAGAAAGGTGAATCCTCTGCCTGCAGAACTTGACTGGCAGGAGTAGGCAGCACCTGGACCTCAGCAGGTCTTGTTCCCATCCTGGAAAAAGTCCTTTGTGGGACAAAGAACAAGTTCATTTCTGTGCTGCTTCAGTCCTTGCTGCTTGTGGTGAGACTGCAGAAAAGATTGTCAAGGGCTTCTGCTGCTTTGGGGAGT